TGTTAACGATTTGATGTATGCAGCTAACAGTAGCCAGTGGAGCTCAGTGAACAGAGGGATAATGAAAACACAACAAGTTAAAGTGGGCATGTAATGAAGATCCACTTTTTGGAGCTTTTTACCAATTCAATTCAAGTTTATTTATATAGCGCCAAATCACAACAAGAGTCGTCTCAAGGCACTTCACATAGTAAACATTCCAATACAGGTCAGTTCATTAAGCCAATCAGTAAATAGTTTCCTATATAAGGAACCCAGCAAATTGCATCAAATCACTGACTAGTGTCAGAGTCCTCAGCAATCCTCATACTAAGCAAGCATGTAGCAACAGTGGAGAGGAAAACTCTCTTTTAACAGGAAGAAACCTCCAGAGGATCCTGGCTCAGTATAAGCAGCCATCCACCACGACTCACTGGGGATCAAGAAGACAGAGCAGACACACGCATACACACACACACGCATACACACACACACACGCATACACACACACACGCACACACACACACACACACACACACACACACACACACACACACAAGACAAAGCAATGTGTCTATAGTTATATTGTGATTTCTTAGTAAATATTCTATTTAGTGAGAGATCAACTTTATTGTATTTATTCTAGTGAATCTATAATCAATTCAACAGGTAAACTAGTAGTAGCACATTAAATGTCAAAGAAAGTAAAATGTTATCAGGAGAGGGAGAATGTTTAAGTGGTTAGCAGCAGTGTTCAAGACGATGGCCCCCTCCATGAGGCAACCACAGCTCAGCAAAACATCATTGTAGCTTCTTCTGGGGAGAAAAACACTTGGAGAGAAAATAAAGTTAACAGCTGAAATAGCAGGAAATAATGCAGTTAAAGAGCAGATTGTAGAAGAAAGTAGTAAAGTGTGGGAAGTGGTCAGTATGTCCTCCAGCAGTCTAAGCCTATAGCTGCATAACTACAGAGATAACTCTGGATAACCTAGCCTTTTAGATGGAGGCATGTTGGAGGCAGGGCAAGGGAGAGCAGTCTTTACAGACTGTACACTCCACCTTCTTCTACTCCCCCACTTGTCCAGATCTAGGCTAACATCAGATTTTAACCATAGGCCCTATCAAATAAAAATGTTTTGAGCCTAGTCTTAAAAGTAGACAAGGTTTCTGTCTCACGGACCAAAGCTGGGAGCTGGTTCTACAACAGAGGAGCCTGATAGCTAAAATATCTGCCTCCCATCCTATTTTTAGATACTCTGGAAACCACCAGTAAACCTGCAGTCTGAGAGCGAAGTGCTCGGTTAGGAACATATGGAACAATCAGATCACTGATGTATGATGGAGCTTGATTATTATGTGAGAAGGAGGATCTTAAAATCTATTCTGAATTTAATAGGCAGCCAATGTAGGGAAGCTGAAGCCGGGCGTACACTGTGCGACTTCTTCACTTTTTGAGCCGAATTTCCACTCGTGCGAGAATCCACGAGATCGGGGCGAGTTTTGCGCTGAGCGTCGTGTAGTGTACAGGGGGTTACGAGAGGCGATTAACACCACGTGACCAGCTACCGATCAGCAATCCTGAGCTCGCACAAACTTCTGGCGTGTTTGAAATTTTGCTCGTCCCTCGTGAGGGTATCGCACTGTTGAAGCGGCGCTGCGAGCAGCTGCGACCCAAAAAGTATCAGAACCGCTCAAGGCGCATACGCAATCATGCATCAACACCGCTCGCCCGCTATTTCCCTAATAACACACGTTGTTTGTTTTTATTTCTACATGTTTTTTACTCACAAGGATTGTCAAGAAAGCGTGTTTGTCGTGTTCATGACACATTAAACTGATCACAAAACACAGATTTACTTTCTTTATTTTGTTTTCCTCATCCAACCCCCATAAATCCCTGTGTGTCCTCCTGCAGCACTCCCGAAGGACAACAAGCAAGACAACACAAAAAAGTCTGACATGTTTTGTAAAAACTGCTATTTTTAGCATATTTTTAGGGCCAATGTGTTGCTACCAGACGTACAGTGTGAGCAGTCAGGTCGCAACCGAGAACTGGGTTGTGCAGTGTGAGCGCATGACTCGTGAGATCTGCCCTGCGAGGAAGTCGCACAGTTTGAGTTGAAGCTGAGGGCTACCAGTGAAAAAGTCGCACAGTGTCCGCCCAGCTTAAGACAGGAGAGATATGATCTCTCTTTTTAATTATCATCAGAACTCTAGCTGCAGCATTTTGGACAAGCTGAAGACTTTTAGCTACATTCTGTGGACTTCCTGTGAGTAATGAATTACAGTAATCCAGTCTTGATGCTTCTAATCTTAGCAATATTCCGAAGGTGGAAAAGGGAAATCCTACAACCCTGTTGAACGTGGGATTTGAATGACATGTCCTGGTCAAAGATAACACCAAGGTTCCTTACTTTGTTCTCGGAGACTAATTTAATGCCGTTCAGGTCAGGTGATTGACTAAGCAATTTCCTTTTCTGGATTTCGGGTCCAAAGATGAAAACTTCAGTCTTGTCTTGATTAAAAAGCAGAAAGTTTACAGTCATCCAATTGTTTTACGTCTTCCAGACAAGCCTGTAATCTAACTAACTGATTAGGTTCATCAGGGTTAGGGTTAGGGTTAGGGTTTCAAATATAACTGGGTATCGCCAGCATAACAGTGGAAATGTGATATTGTTACTTCTTCATAAAAGAAAAACCCCACCAAAACCTGTTTTTGGTGAATTTGTGTATTTTTCTGTATCAGCAGCAAATTTTGTTTCACTTAGAAAATTCTGAAAACGTCTGAATCAAAACTACTTGCATCATCAGACATTTCTCTTCTCCCTGAAGTTGGTAGTCTCGATTCTGAAACCTGGATATTCTGACGCAACACATTCTCACACCCAAGGCGTCAAAATATGGCGCGTGTGACAGAGCCTCAATATATGATAATTCGGGACGCCCCAGCGCGTCAGGAGATGACGATCAGGGACAAACAGCTGACGCAGCATCCCAGAGTGTCGGCATCCGACGCCGGTGGTGAGACGGACATTAGAACTACTTGTGAACTATTTAACCTTCCCCTCACCCCAATCCTAACCTTAAGGTCACAGTTTATGGACCTTAAGGTTAGGATTGGGGTGACGGGAAGGTTAAATAGTCGAATAATTTCCGTGTGACCATGCGCGTCAAACACTGACGCCAGCGGAGCCATGTGACCCAGCGTGTCCCTGATCGTCGTGTCCCTGATCGTCATCTCCTGACGCGCTGGGGCGTCCCGAATCATCATATATTGAGGCTTGGTCACATGTGTCATATTTTGACACCTTGGGTGTGAGAATGCGTTGCCTGACAAACTACTTCTGCATCGGGGCCAAAACACAGCCTTTAAATCATGCATCCTGTCTGCTGACAAACGTAATGGCAGCACATGATATGTATGTTGGACGACTGTTGTTTTTGTAACAGACTTGGTAGTCCAGTGGTTAGAGTGCCAGACTGCCATGTAGTTTCACACAGGCTTGCCTCCAGGTTGCAGCAGTAACTTTTTTTTCTTTTTTTTATCTACACTTACCAGTATTATGTTGTCAACCCTTTATTGGTTAACTGTTTGAAGTATAAAGACTAATATGTTTTTTTTTTTTTTTACTTTCTTTGTTTATTTAGCCAGTGTGAGTCCACGTGAGTTGAGCTCGTAGGTGCATTTGTCGGAGCGGGAGTAGGCTGAGTTTCACTGAATTGGACTGTTTAATTTCTGGGTATAAATTCAGGCTGATGAAAGTATGACATCTCAGTAGAGCTAACAGTAATATTTTATCATGTATTGTACCTACCTTTGCTCTCGAAAGTTGAAAATATCACGATGTGGCTCCTTTAAAATGATCCAGTGGTCACCGATAAGTTTTTGGGTGACAGCGTTTTCTGCATTGTCGCATCAATAGATTCACATTTCCATTGTTCACAATGAATGATAACGAAAACATTTTTACTGATTTTTATTTTCACTACTACCTGCATACTTTAATATCAGATACAATTTGTGGTTTTCAATTGCTTTTTCCAACATTTTCAAATTTCATTGAAACACACATCATTTTGAGGTGTTAAAGCCATCCCTGTTTTACTGTAGTCTTACAAACTACAGACTACATAGTATTTCATCATCATTGCTATTTTCTCCTTTTTTTCTGTATGATGAAACAATGATTTTAATTAATCAACCTGTGTGTGGTCTGGAAATTAAACTGGAACCTTTCTCCCAAGTGAAAAGCATTTTGCTAAACAAATGTGCTGGTATAGATTAGCTTCAAGGTAAATTAATATATGTTAAATGTTACTTTACTACCCTGCTTGTCCACTAAATTTGATAAACTTACCAGTGAATCTCACCAGGTGGTCCGACCGGGCATCAACAGCTTTGCATTCAAATGTGCATGACATCTACAGTTTTCTGTGAAGTAATGGAAACAGAGGCACCCTCTCCTTATGTGGTGTCAGATTCCTGCTACAGACTCATTTTGCTACAAAGTCAAACACAACAGCCTCCTATATGCCTGACAAAACAAACACCGTGTCACACAATCAATTAAAATTAAAATCAGCTTCAGTGATTCAACTGCAACTCTTATTATATTAATACATTTTCTGTGTCACATTGACCGTGAGCAAAACGTACAGGTTGATAAGAGTATCAGCAGCAGTGTGATGCAAACGGTGACCTTTATTTTATCCACTGACTTGGCAGGCTGGGTCCCCATGAGACAGATTGATTGCTCAAGATGCAAGTCATGATTTAATTTCTTGACATAATATTTGCAGCCGCTCAACAGATAGTGAGCTTCCAATGATGGTGCTGAATTATAATCACTACCCTCTTCATTTCAGAGCCACTCCTGGTGGCTATTCATCTTCAAACAGTAAACTGAAGGGGGGTGATGAGATGCTGGATTTATTCCTGCTCTACTGACAGGCTTTGGGCATTGAGAATAAAGGTTTTTACCTCAAACTCAACATTTTAACCTTTGTTTTGCTTTTCCCAGGTACAACCCGCGCCCCTCGAGACGGCGAGGTCCCGGGGGTGGATTACAACTTCCTGTCTGTGGACGATTTCCTACAGCTCGAAGAGAGTGGCACACTTCTGGAAATAGGAACGTACGAAGGTGAGGATGACGGTGATGACAGCTGGCACTTTTTGTGACTGAGGCATGACTTCGCAGGTGTCCCCGTTCTCCACGGATACGATGAGCAAAGCAGCCATCAAATTGTATTTTTTCCTACATGAAAGCAGGCTGTAGGACCACGCACTTGGTTGATTCTGATTAGACTGTGCCTGATGAAGGGAGATGCATCCAGGAGACAGCAGGTCTCTTCGCATCTGCCCCTCTCACTCTGATTAGAACACTGTTGTGTAGAGCTAAGTCTCACAATGACACAAACCTGTGTAAACAAGTGTTTGTGTGTTGAATTGTGTGTTCTGCTGTGCTAAGTCTAGGCATGTGTGCATGCATGTGTGTCTGTGTGTGTAAGGCAGAGAGTAAGAGAGTGAGTGTGTTCATAGGGCTTGGAGAGATTGTTACGACATTAATCTGCTTGGCACCAGCTCTGTTGTGTGTTGGCACGTTGCTCTCGTTCACGCAGACAATGTCAAATAGCTGTCCACAGGAGTCTGGCAGTGCGGACAACAGGAAGACAAACAGATAGAACTAGTCCATCAATTTTTGCATAATCTGTGTTTAATTGGATGGGTTAGGGTTAGGTTAGGGTTGGGGCTAACCCTAACCTGTGGACTAAGTCAGATGTTTAAATAGATAAAGCACAGTAACACATTTCCTGCCCACTGGCCTGGATGACACCCCCCCCCCCCCCCCCCCCCCCCAACATAACATATTGTTTGTCTCAAAAGATAGGTAGCGTAATGTAAAACGTACGTTACGTAAAGTAACGTGGATCAAGAGCTTTGCCCTCCGGCTCAGCTCTCTCTTCACCACAACAGACCGGTACAACGCCCGCATCACTGCAGACGCAGCACCAATCTGCCTGTCGATCTCGCTTTCCATCTCTCGAGGCCAATCAGAATCCTAAAAACCAGGTTGTTTGTTTCCGATTTATCCAAGCAGCGATAAGATGTCTGACTTTTTTCCCTCTGTTCTGTTGTCGAGGATTATTTCACACAATAACAGATCTTACATGAGGAATTTTGGGTATATTTCCATCCATCCATCCATTTTCATCTGCATATCCTGAGTCGGGTCGCAGGGGCAGTAGCCTAAGGCGAGAGGCCCAGACTTCCCTCTCTCCAGCCACTTGGGCCAGCTCCTGCGGGGAAATACCAAGGCGTTCCCTGGCCAGGTGAGAGAAATAATCCCTCCACCGTGTCCTGGGTCTACCTTTAGGTCTCCTCCCAGTTAGACGTGCCCGGAAAACCTCCCCAGGGAGGTGTCCAGGAGGCATCCTGACCAGATGCCTGAGCTACCTCAACTGGCTCCTCTCGATGTGGAGGAGCAGCGGGTTTACGCCGAGCCCCTCCCGAATGACCGAGCGTCTCACCCTATCTCTAAGGGAGAGTCCAGCCACTCTTCGGAGAAAACTCATTTCGGTCGCTTGTATCCGTGATCTCGTTCTTTCGGTCACTACCCAAAGCTCATGACCATAGGTGAGGGTAGGAACGTAGATCGACCGGTAAATAGAGAGCTTCGCCTTCTGACTCACCTCTCTCTTCACCACGACAGACCGGTACAACGCCCACATCACTGCAGACACATCACCAATTTGCCTATTGATCTCATGCTCCAGTTTTCCCTCACTCGTGAACAAGACCCCGAGATACTTAAACTCCTCCACTTGGGGCAGGACCTCATCCCTGCCCCGGAGAAGGCATTCTACCCTTTTCCGAATCAAGACCATTGTCTCAGATTTAGAGGAGCTGATTCTCATCCCAGCTGCTTCACACTCAGATGCGAACCGCTCCAGCGAAAGCTGAAGATCATGTTCTGATGAAGCCAGAAGGACCACATCATCTGCAAAATGTAGAGACCTGATCCTCAGGCCACCAAAATAGATGCCCTCCACACCTTGGCTGTGCCTAGAAATCCTGTCCATAAAGGATATGAACAGAATCGGTGACAAAGGGCAGCCTTGGCGGAGTCCAACTCTCACTGGGAACGAGCCCGACTTACTGCTGGCAATGCGGACCACGGTATATTTCCGTCATCCATAATCGTTCCCAGCATGATAGAATTAGAATCACTCCACACATACGGAGCCTTCTTTTAGTTGTTTATCTCTTTTGCTCAGCTGTACTATTTAAAGAAAAACAATCAAAAAAGTGTATACGTTTTTTTGTGTACCTTGAACGAATTGTAAGCTAGCCATGCCACCACATAAGTCTAAAATTTATTAGTGTAATAGTGATTTTCCCTTACCTAAACATATCCCATAATAGGTGTTTCTTCACTTGTATCTACACAAAATATGTATTTTACTCCGCTACTTTAAATGCAACATTCAAATACATAATACAGATAATCCCTTAGAGGGCAATAAGGAGTGCACTTCGGTGTATGATTCTGTAAAGTCCTCTTTTAAGCTCTCCTTGATCTCTTGACAGCCATTATTTCTTTATCGTCAGCTATCCATGACTAGGAAAACTCAGAGTTGGCAGCAGAGTCAACCACACAATGCATCATAACAGCTGACCCCGCAGGAATCCTACAAGCAAGTCTGGCTGAGGTTATCTGTGACCTGCACGGATGTTGCCACCTCATAAGGGGCTCCGTGTGCCAACCATTCTAAACGTGGGTCCTTTTTCAAATAAACACTGATTAAAAGGGGTTTATTCCCCATCTAACTTTTGTCAGGAAAGTGATGAAATGAAAGCTAGTATAAAGTGGAGGCCTGCAGGCCTCCGATATATGAACCCATGATTGATGCAGCATCCAAACTAAAACTAATGCTCTGTTGATTCGTAAAAGTTTTATTGAGTTAGCTAAGATTTCAAACACAAACAATACCTCTATTGTTTTGCCACCAGCTGCTTATTGCCACGATTTGTAGTCACCCAGTGATCCACCTTCGTGTCTCTCACTCAGCGTAGGATTACGCTTTGTCCCCCTGCACTGCCTGTTTTCATCCCTGGCTCCTTCTCTTCATCTCTTCCCCTCTCCCTCTGTGTCTCTCTCGCAAGCATGCTAATGTCCTTCTTGTTGCCTAGGTAACTATTATGGGACCCCAAAGCCTCCAAGGCAGCCCATCATTGGGACAGTGACTCTCAGTGATGCAGGCTCCCATCAGTCCACACCAAAGCGCACCAAGTCCTACAATGACATGCAAAACGTCCGCGTAGTGCCTGCTGACGACGACGATGACGACCAGGCCACGGAAATGAACAACAGTTTTACAGGTGAGGGCATTGCTTAATCATGTAGAATTTTCTGACTCTTCAGTTCCTCTGGTCTGTGCTTGTGTCATGGTCTCCCATCAGCTTCCCTCTAAAAATGATGCTTCTGTTGGATTTTGATACAAGCTTGAGAATGGGAGTCGTGAGGGAAAGACAGAGTGTGTTTGTGTGTTTATGATCCTCTCCTCTGGAAGATAATGGGTGTCTGGCAGTTACATCATGTTTTTGTGATGCAGATCCTTTTCCTGTGAGCCTGTTAACACTGCCATCTGCCTGTGAGGAGGGATGTGCTGGTGGATCAAATAGATCACAGGCTACTCCTGCATGAACTCACTCCTTTTTACAATCAGTTTTCATCATGCATGCACAGTTTTTTTTTGCATAACTTCATAAAAAACTGAATTTTTGAATAAACTATGGATTTAGATTACAAACCATTTAGTGTTTTTATAAAGCCAAGTCTTCTCATTGCTTTGCTTCAACCTGCTTCAAGTGTGAAAAATGTGTTGTTGTTTTTCTCTCGACTCGTTGAAACTTTGCACTTTCTACGTCCCCCTGCCAGGCTGCCAGCAGGCTGAATTAGCATTTGATCAATCCTGGAAAGCCCACAAAAGTGGTGGAGAATATCTGACGAGAAGTGGGAATGGGAATGAGAGTGGGGGGTTGGGTTAGCTGTACGAGAGGTAATCTGGGTGGGGGTCAAATTGAGCTGGTGAAAAACTGTTGCTGGAGAAATTAGCATATCCCTTTAGCCTTGTAGTTACACTAAAGAAGGGCTGGAGGAGTTTGGTGTGAAAGCTGCATGAAACAAGTGAGCATGTCTGATTATTGCTTCTTGCATGCGTGACACATAAACTGTGATTTCCTCTTCTTTTTCTTTTGTTTGTTCTTGTTCCGTGTTGTGCTTCTCATGTTACCCAGGATCTTTAGTGCGTAGCCTCTTCCCCTCTCCTTTGTTGTGCGCAGGTAACCCTAACGACCAGGACGAGAGCCGTAGCAGCATCCTTCGGCCATATCCTGCACGTGACAATGCTATACCGTGTGGTCTGAACAATGCAACTGCCTCTACTGTTGAAAGCGGGCAGCAAACACTCGCAGAGCCACAGGTCTCTCCAGATGACCCTCTTGGACCATTGCCTGAGAACTGGGAGATGGCCTACACCGAGAACGGGGAGCTGTACTTCATAGAGTACGTATCCACAGCCTTTAGTCTGTCCAGCTTGTCTTTTTAGGCCTTCTCAGCCCCCTGGGTGCTGCTGCTGTCCTGTTAATCCCTGCATGTCCCGATCTGAAAAGGAGATCACATCTTGATCACCTGACTGCCTCCACCTGCCTCCACCTCTATGTCATCTTTGGAGCTCAGAAGCAGGGCATGGCGGTGTATTCTCAGAGCTTGTATGTTCATCACTGGTAGAAGAATAAGTGAGGTAGTTTTGTGCTACTTTGCCTGCATCGCTTTTTATTCCTGCCTGTCCTTTATAAACTTGCAGATTTTTTTTTATTTGTGTCTAATTCATGCTGACGCGATCAGGTGCTCCTGCTGTGCTTTGATATGCCCGTTTGACGGCCTGTGATGAGTTATTCTGTCGTCTTGTTTGTTTTCTCCCAGCCACAACACAAAGACCACATCATGGCTGGATCCCCGGTGTAGAGACAAAGCCTTCAGGCCTTTGGAGGAGTGTGATGATGATGGTAAGCCTCTAGACATTATTTACTACACAAATGTGTGACTTCACGGTTCTGTGTAGTGGTTTAGAAGCAGCGTGAACTCTACAACAGATGTATAGTGTGATGTCCTTGTTAAATTCTTGCTTTGATTTTTGCTTCTCTTGCGTGAATTCGTGATTTGGGATGCGTCTTACACTCTTCATGTGACAAAACAGTGTTGCTGTTACAAATGACACATTGACACAATGACAAAACACAGTTTTTAAGTGAGATTCGATGGTTTTGTTTTTTGCAATGTTGAAAAATTGCCCCATCAAGTGGTGAAAGTGTAACTAAGCATCTAGTGCGCTCCAGTTGCTTTTAGACTCTGTAAAACTCTGGGTTAACCCATTTCTCAGAGCGTTCTAATCCTGTGTCTGTTTCCTTTTAATTTTCACATCATTCCTTCATCCCTTTTCTCTCCTGCTTTTTATTTGTTTCATCCTGCTTTCAAATTGGAGAAGAAGGGATACATACAGAAGACCTGGAAACTGATCTAGGTATGATTTTTAATTTTGTGTTTATTTGTTGAGCTTTTTTTAATGGTTAACAAAATGGTCTGGATCTCATTAGTTAAATGTATAACATGCCTGCAGTTCTTAACTTGAAATAAATCCCAGCAGCCGTGGTCACTCCAGTAAAATATTCCCACATATTGCACCAAAACCCAAGAAAACTCAGAGGTGAGCCACATTATTTTTATTCTCAGTCTAGAGCAGCATTTGAGGTAAATCCAACATGAATTATGCTGCAACTGAGCTCACTATTCAGATTTAATGATGTACTTTGGATTATACTACACAGACTGCATGTCTCAGCGACTGAAAAAGTGTAAGACTTCAAGCTGTTATTATTGCCACTTAGATGCAATAACTCAAGACTGTGATTTTTTTACTGGACGTGAGAAACAACGTGAAAATACAAAGTATAATAAAAATCTGAGGGGTTAGCAGTGAACATGTTGGTTTAGTCTGCTTCAGCATTGGGGCTATTATCTATAATAGAGCAATGTTTAGCTACACCTAATATTGTGGAGACAGAATCATGTGGTCCCTTGTTTAAAACAGTTTGCCCGCAGCTTGTTAGTGATAATGAGCATATTAACAAAAACAATAAGTAGGGCAGCCATAGCAGAAGGACGGGAACCAAGTTGTTGTTTGAATTCCAAAAGTAGCGATGAAAGGTGAACAGTGTTGCTGGCACAGCTGGGATCATTTGTACCTAGAAGGCTAATGATTGTACTTTACTGGTGCAATAAGCCCCTGACTTCAACAAGAGCATCAAGAATCGATGGGGGTGTTAAAGTAAACTCAAAGCAAACCGTTGTGTTTTTTGTTATAAAGGTTTTCCGTACTTTATTGTGTTTTTCATATTAATTTTGGGTAATTCTAATAAATTTGGCATCACTAAGAACACATGTCCCGGGGGAATGAAAAACTTAAATATGGAAAAATCATCTAATGATCTGCTTGAGCATGTGCACTTACCTGTGTGAGTGACTGAGATGATGCTTTGTGCTCTCTGTGTTCTAGAGCTGCCTCCAGGATGGGAGAGAATAGATGACCCTGTGTATGGGGTGTACTATGTAGAGTAAGTAAATCACCCTGTTGACACGTCGCCACACAGAAATAACCAGCTCTTTGATGTTTAAAACCCTCTCACAAACGCAACAGCACACCAATGGAGATTTGTTGTATTCCTACCTTTGTTTCCTTCTGCTCTTGTGTTATGTTGTGTATTTTTTCTTGTCTGTCTCAGTCACATAAACAGGAAGACCCAGTATGAAAACCCAGTGGTGGAGGCGCGGCGTCAAAAACTCTTGGAGCAGCAGCAACAGCCGCAGCCTCCAGAAGGTGAGCGGTATATTCGAGGTTCGTTTCCTGCCCTGACACGGCAACCATTTCTTTCTTTCTTCATGTCTGTCAGTGTCACGTCCTTCTAGTTGGTCTGGTGTTTTCCAGGGTTTTGGCCAGACTTGACTTTATACTCCCTCTTTAAAAAACTGTCTTAAAGTTTGGCTCTTTTAAACTGGTTTCACTAAAGTAAAGCTGGCCTAAGTCCTGTTGTTGTGGTCACATTTTTTCATTTATGTATTTTGTAGTCATAAATGATGTAAACCATTTTGGTATTTGATCATAGTTTGTGTACCATGACCAAGTCAGGAGCAGGTTTATAGATATTTTGTCCAACTGGATGCATGTTTCTGTGTGACACTTAAGAATATTTACAATCTTACCCATACTAGACAGCTTCCTGAACAGCCTCTGTTCAGAGGAATAACATTTACTTCCTACATGATGGATGAGCTAATGGCTAGCCAAACACGGTCAAGTCCAACGTGTGTTGCTGTTGATTTTAAACAGCTTCAGTCTTGCCTGGGGCTGGAGAGCAAGAAGCTGTTACCTCCCCGTTGACCACAGTTGTGTTTATCTGCTAAATAGCAACACAATAAAATCTATCAGCCTGGTCAAAACATGTTGAGCTGTAGGCGCAGCCGATAAAATACACTGAAGGCAGTGGTTAATGAGCAATTCTAGTGGATAAACCACCCACATTGTGGCAGAAAAAGTCTTGTGACAGAATAAAGAAGTAAAATATCTGCCCCACATGTCCAGCAACAAAGTAGTTATAGCCATCTAATGACTTAAATGCTTTTATTATATGAATATGCACGACCACAGGGACGAGGAGCCAGGGAGGACTGACCAAGCTCCAGCAGAGAGGAGGAGCTGTGCTGCAGATCAGTCTTGAAAAATAAACTGAGTGTGTGAAAGTGACAGCGCTGGTGTGGTGTGTAGTTCTGTGTCCCGTGGTAACAGTCTTGTTACAATTGTTACGCAAAATGCACTGTGTAATTGGAGCGTGCAGCCTCTGATGTCATTCGTGTTTCTGTTAACGTTGCTCATCAGAATAAACAGAGTATCCGTTAATCTCCAAAGAAGAGCGTTGTCACGGCGATCGTTCAGCATTAACCCGCAAAACGTAGAAGAGATCCAGTTATACCTCCGTTGTCCAGACGGCCGGTTCTGAAGACTGTCATCCCCACAGTTCAGTAGCTATTTCAAACGCATCTGGAAGCTTCGTGCTAAACAACGTTAGCTTTGAGATTTTTATCTATTTTTTGTTCATCTGCACAAAGATGTGTTAGATGATCTACAGTAGTAAGATCTAAATGCCTAGGTTTCATTGTGTTAGCTTAAATTGCAGATATACAGCTCTGGATAATAGCCGGAGATGGCGTTCTTGCCCTCTAGCAAGTGTGGATGTGTGCAGTTAGTTACCCAGATGTAAACAATAACACGCAATGTGTCTATACCAGGTAAGATAGTGATAATTTACTTTACACACCTAAGAGTGTCCAATTATCCCTTTTATTACTGACGTTACGACAGTCCGAGGGGATTGACACGATTATCTTATTTTAATTTGAGTGAAAAGTATTTTCTACAAATCAGTATCTTTAACAATGTTAGTTTTCCAAGATAAAAACATCACAAAAATACGGCTGATATTATGCCCGTCTTACTTGTACTTATTTAATTTTTGGACAATTATCTTTGCACAAAATTTTAATATGTTTAATAAAACCATATCTGTAGTGTAAACAAAATTAGGAAATAAGTAGAACGCCATCATTAGTTAATGGTGATGATTAAAGAGACAGTCACATGAAAAGTTTGCTTAAAGCTGTGCTTGTTTTGATGTGTTTTAATATGTGTGAGTAAATGTTTTCTATGAATGCACATTGGATGAGTGTGTGTGGAATAAAGTGTGAATGATTGTGTCTGAACAGAGTGGATAGAGGAACACTCAGCAGCAGCAGCTCCATTAGCAAATTATGCTCCGAATCACCTGGAGACCTACAGAGACCCACAAGTCCCTCCGGCACTACCTCCCGGCCCTGCGGTTATCAAAAGTAAGTTTACAGTCAAAGACCTTCTTGAGTTTTGCTTTACTCTCTTTAGAAGTGCAAAAATGTATCTTGTTGGAAATGGAAAAGAAACATTTTTTCCTCTCCATGTTCTCCAGGAGGCAAACCTTTCTTCACAAGAAACCCAGCAGAGCTGAAAGGAACCTTCATCAACACAAAGCTGAAGAAAAGTCACCGCGGCTTCGGCTTTACCGTGGTCGGTGGTGACGAGCCCGACGAGTTCCTACAAATCAAAAGTCTGGTGCTGGATGGGCCTGCTGCTGTAGACGGCAAGATGGAAACAGGTGCAGTACAACACCATGATCCACAGGGGGCAGTGTTTTCATTCAGTAACATGAAACTGAGTTGTTCCATTCCTCAGCTCTAACAGAGTTATGAACAATGGGAAATATCATGCACTAGACCTTTAAACCAGGAAGTAGAATTATAACTAATGGCATCGTTTTGCTTTTTGCAGGTGATGTGATTGTCAGTGTGAATGATACTATTGTGCTGGGCTACACCCATGCTCAGGTGGTGAAGATCTTCCAGTCCATCCCCATTGGCTCCATGGTGGACCTGGCCTTATGCCGTGGCTACCCACTGCCCTTTGACCCTGATGATCCTAACACTAGCCTGGTAACCTCAGTGGCAATTTTAGACAAGGAACCGATCATCGTCAATGGACAAGAGTCATTTGACGCTCCTCCTAACCAAACCGGACCTCTTAATGGCCTGCGTGAGCCACGGCCGCTCAGCCCTTCAGCTGAGGTCACGTCTAATGGCTCCCACGCATACTCCAGTGATGTGGTTACGCTGGCCTCATCAATAGCCACCCAGCCCGAGCTGATCACCATCCACATGGAGAAGGGGGACAAGGGTTTTGGTTTCACCATCGCTGACAGCCTCACTGGAGGAGGGCAGAGGGTAAAGCAGATAGTGGACTATCCACGGTGCCGTGGCCTGAAAGAAGGGGACATTCTAATGGAGGTCAACAAAAGGAATGTTCAGAACATGAGTCACAATCAGGTGGTGGATCTGCTGAGCAAATGTCCGAGAGGCAGCGAGGTCACTATGTTGGTGCAAAGAGGTACGTCTGACTTTTGTTTTGTTTTAACCAGTAGGATGCTTGCTTACCAGAACTGAAATGTTGGCATGAAAGGCCGTGACATCAAAAGCACTAATGGATGTACTTTGGCTCGTTGAACAGACAACAGCTTGAATATCTGGCATGTAGAGAGTGACATAATGAAGTAACAGGAGAAAAAAGTGAGGAAGAGAGTGGGAGGAAGGTGGAAAATGCTCAGAATGGATGGTATGGAATCAAGAGGCAGAGAGATGACAGGAAGAGATTAAAGTGTGTAAGCAGGGTAGCGTGGGATGAAGGGGAGAATGGTCAAAGAGCCAAGATGGATGAATGGAGGGGAGGGGCAGTACACAAGGTCAGGGAGTCGTACATCACAGCTAAACGTTTGCTGTCTGAAATTAGTTTGTGTTTTCACACATAATTATAGTCTGAAGCAAATGAGTAGAGAAGATCGAGACCTGTTTTCCTTCTGTAGTAATTTAGGTTAATTTATTTTACTCAGTAATGGTTCTGATATTTACCGATTCTGTCACATATAAATGATTTAATTATAATAGTTAATATTTGTTAATAGTTTAACTAACTTTGTGGTGAAGGGGTTTGTTCCTCAGCTTTTTGAACCACTTTCTGTTTCCTTCACTCCAAACGTTTGGCGTGTAATGACCAAAATGAGAGATGTCAAATGAAGAAAATGTTTTTCAGAGTGAAAAATATCCTAAAGCAAACAGAAAGACGTGTAAGGTCGTTCCTCTTTGTCCAGTTCCTTGTTTTTGTTAAATCTTGGTGCCGTTTGGACCTGCTCTGTATTGGTGGCAGGTTGGGATCTGCAATGCACATCAATTATGTTCTCTAATGAGTTGACCTCGTGCACTTCTGCTGGAGTAACTCTGCTGTATTGTGTTAAATGTCAGCATCATTATGAACCTGTGTGTGGGAGAGAGAAGGGGAATCGACGGTGCAGGTGTGTGTGTGTGTTGGGGGGGGGGGGTGTCTGGAAAGAGGGAACAGCTGAGAGGATAAGCAAGGATGGAGCTGCTGAAAGTCACTGGAGGTGGGGTGGGGGTGTTGACATTACCAAGGAAGATGTCAGGACTCAATAAACAATATTTCAAATGAAATGTATTCATGCACAGCTCTCAGATCATCAGCCAAATGTCTATCAAATAAACCTATAATTTAAAATTATTAACAAGAGATTGACATTCATAAAATATAAAGTCTAAGCAAGAAATTAAATATTTAAAATAATGTGTTTAAAACATCTAAACCACCCAGTTCTTTTAAAGTTAAGTTTGTTTCACAGCTATTGAAGATGCTTACTCTCTTGGTCGTGATGATCATTCTTTTTTTTTTTCTTTCAAAGGTTAAATAAATCTAAATGAACATTTTTTTAAATCCACTGTTGAACAGGAAGCTGCTGCAGAAACTATCTCTGCTTCTGGTTCCAGTTAGAAGTCTAAGCCAAAATAAAGTGATAGATGCATCAGCTTCTTTGGTGTGTTCTTGCTGTGTTGAAATTCTAATTCCATCTTTTAGTTCTTTTTAAAACACAGAAACATTGAAGGTAAATCAAACCTTTCTGTGTTTTAAAAAGAACTAAAAGATGGTATTAGATGCATCAGCTTTTTAGGGGAGCAGTGATGAGAAACTATCTTATGTTATGTTAAATGGTATAAATCTCTAAGAACATCTTGATTTTATAATAGCTTGTAATAGAAGTTTACCCAGACTAGGGGTGGGAATTCATAAGTTTTTATCAATATCAATGGCATTGTCGATTGTGTCTATTGCAGTGAAATTACAGTTTATATTTAAATCAATATGATGTGATGATTCCATATAAATATGAAATATCAACCTGATTGATCTTTGAATGTTTAATCAGAAAATTCTGGTGGCTCTTTGGTTCTTCAGGGACCATAAACACACTTTGTATTAATTCAGACAGAGTCGGTATATAGTTTCTAAAATGAATTTTATTATTTTTCCTAAACTAATGATTATACATGACAAGATATGAATGAAGAGATGTTATGCAATGGATGAGAAATGATTTAATGTGATGTGTGAAATTGTTTGTATCTGAGAGAAATTGTGAAGTCTGGGTTGTAAAAGAATTTGTTGTTTATAAACTAGAGAGTTGTTTATTAAAAAACCATCCAGCCATCCATTTTCATCCGCTTATCCGGAGTCAGGTTGCGGGGGCAGTAGCCTAAGTCGAGAGGCCCAGGCTTCCCTCTCCCCCGCCACTTGGGCCAGCTCCTCCGCGGGAATCCCAAGGCGTTCCCTGGCCAGGTGACAGACAAAGTCCCTCCAACGTGTCCTGGGTCTGCCTTTAGGCCTCCTCCCGGTTGGACGTGCCCAGAAAACCTCACCAGGGAGGCATCCAGGAGGCATCCTGACCAGATGCCCGAGCCACCTCAACTGGCTCCTCTCGATGGGGAGGAGCAGCGGGTCTACTCCGAGCCCCTCCAGGATGACAGAGCTTCTCACCCTATCTCTAAGGGAGAGCCCAGCAACTCTTCGGAGAAAACTCATTTCAGCCACTTGTATCCGCAATCTCGTTCTTTCGGTCACTACCCAAAGCTCATGATCATAGGTGAGGGTAGGAACATAGATCGACCGGTAAATCGAGAGCTTCGCCTTCTGACTCAGCTCTCTCTTCACCACGACAGACCGGTACAACGCCAGCATCACTGCAGATGCAGCACTAATCTGCTTGTCGATCTCACGCTCCAGTTTTCCGTCACTCGTGAACAAGACCCCGAGATACTTAAACTCCTCCACTTGGGGCAGGACCTCATCCCTGACCCGGAGAAGGCATTCTACCCTTTTCCGAATCAAGACCATGGTCTCAGATTTAGAGGAGCTGATTCTCATCCCAGCTGCTTCACAATCGACTGCGAACTGCTCCAGCGAAAGCTGAAGATCACGTTCTGATGAAGCCAACAGGACCACATCATCTGCAAAAAGCAGAGACCTGATCCTCAGGCCACCAAAACGGATGCCCTCCACACCTTGGCTGTGCCTAGAAATCCTGTCCATAAAGGATATGAACAGAATTGGTGACAAAGGGCAGCCTTGGCGGAGTCCAACTCTCACTGGGAACGAGCGCGACTTACTGCTGGCAATGCGGTCCAAGCTCTGACACCGGTCATACAGGGACCTAACAGCCTGTATCAGAGGGCCTGGTACCCAATACTCCTGGGGTACCCCCCACAGGGCCCCACAGGGCCCCACAGGGCCCCCCGAGGGATGCGGCCAAACGCCTTCTCTAAATCCACAAAACACATGTAGACTGGTTGGGCAAATTCCCACACACCCTCCAGGATCCCCCTAAGGGTATAGAGCTGGTCCAGTGTTCCACGGCCAGAACGAAAACCACATTCCTGAATCTGAGGTTCAACAATCCGATGGACCCTCCTCTCCAGAACCCCTGAATAGACCTTACCAGGAAGGCTCGGGAGTGTGATCCCCTGTAGTTGGAACACACCCTGCGGTCCCCCTTTTTAAATAAGGGAACCACCACCCCGGTCTGCCAGTCCAGTGGGACTGCCCCCGATGTCCACTCAATATTGCAGAGCCGCGTCAGCCAACACAGCCCCACAACATCCAGCGCCTTAAGGAACTCCGGGCGTATGTCTTCCACCCCTGGAGCCTTGCCACAGAGGAGCTTTTTAACCATCTCAGGGACCTCAGCACCAGAGATTTGAGAGGTCAACTCAAAGTCCCCAGACTCTGCTTCCTCACTGGAAGATGTGTCGGTGGGATTGAGGTCTTCAAAGTATTCTGCCCACCGATCCACAACGTCCTGAGTAGAGGTCAGCAGCACACCGTCCCCACTATAGAAAGTGTTGGTAGTGCACTGCGCTGCCCCCCCCCCCCCCCCCCCCCCCCCCCAGGCGTCAGATGGTGGACCAGAATCTCCTCGAAGCCATATGGAAGTCTTGCTCCACGGTCTCACCGAACTCCTCCCATGCCCGGGTTTTTGCCTCTGTGACCACCCCAGCCACGTTCCGTTTGGACTGCCAGTATCCGTCAGCTGCCTCTGGAGTCCCACAGGCCAAAAATACCTGATAGGACTCTTTCTTCAGCTTGACAGCATCCCTAACCACCGCTGTCCACCAGCGGGTTTGGGAGTTGCCACCACGACAGGCACCGACGATCCTGCGACCACAGCTCCGGTCGGCCGCCTCAACAATGGAGGCAGGAACAGGGTCCAGTCAGACTCAGTGTCCCCCGCCACCCCCGGAACATTTTGGAAGTTCTGTCAGAGGTGGGAATTGAAGCTCCTTCTGACAGGAGACTCTGCCAGACGTTCCCAGCAGACCCTCGCGATACGTTTGAGCCTGCCCGGTCTGTCCGGCATCCTCCCCCACCATCTGAGCCAACTCACCACCACGTAGTGGTCAGTTGACAGCTCTGCCTCTCTCTTCACCCGAGTGTCCAAGACATGCGGCCGCAGGTCAGATGAAACAACAACAAAGTCGATCATCGAGCTGAGGCCTAAGGTATCCTGGTGCCAAGAGCACATATGGACACCTTTATTTCTGAACATGGTGTTCATAATGGACAATCCATGACTGGCACAGAAGTCCAATAACAAAACACCACTTGAATTCAGATCAGGGGGGCTGTTCCTCCCAACGACACCTCTCCAGGTCTCACTGTCGTTGCCCACGTGAGTGTTAAAGTCCCCCAGCAGAACGAGGGAGTCACCAGAAGGAGCGCTTTCCAGCACCTCCTCCAAGGTCTCCAAAAAGGGTAGGTAGTCTGAACTGTAGTTTGGTGCATAAGCACAGACCACAGTCAGAATCCGTCCCACCACACATAGGCAGAGGGAGGCTACCCTTTCATTCACTGGGGTAAACTCTAACGTACAGGCACTAAGATGGGGGTCAACTAGTATGTCCACCCCTGCTCGGTGCCTCTCAGTGGGAGCAACTCCAGAGTGGTAGAAAGTCCCCTCTCAAGGAAACTGGTTCCACAGCCAGAGCCATGCG